GGAGCTGTTGTCTGGAAAGGAGCTGGGACCTTGCTTGGAGGTAGAAATTGGGAACGGAGAGGGGGGGGGGAGTAGTTGTAGGAGCGGGAGTTATATGGGCTCGGGATTTTTAACAAGAAACTTGATTCTGTGAGTAAGCGAATATATTTGTGCGCCAAGCCTGAAATTTCACGTTGACAAAAAAAACAGCATCTGTGTGCGATTACGGGTTCCGCAGTTCATACCCAAACCCAGAAATGGGGACTGTGCGGCCGAGCCGAGCCGAGTTTCAGTAATTTGCGTACTTCAATTTCAGCTTTAACGCAAAGCGGTCAATATTTTTGGCTTCAAAAGTGAATTCGATCAAGCAGTTTTGTGCGGATCTCGCAGACAGAGGCCTTATTGCCAGCTTACATCCCGCTTATCTCTCCAACAGTGATTTCGCCGCTGCATCAGCTCTTCCGGACGTCGTTTATGCAGGTGAGCTACTCTTCATTTTGGGCTGACTGGATTGTACGCCTAGTTGAAATTGCAGTTCCCGAAAAACAGTTTGTTCGCTCCGAATTGAGCTCCTTTTTGATCATTTTTATGACCTAATTATCTTATACAGTGCTTCTTTTGGCACTTGACGTCAGTTCCTCTTCGCTTTCGAATGGAAAGGTCTTGTACTCTACACTTCATACTCGGATGCACTTTTACGTGCAGTGAAAAAATTCAAGACGTACCAAGCTGAATGGCATTTCGATGTCCTAGAAAATACTTCTCCGCTTGGTTTCTTCGGACGTAGTGATGTTGCTCGCGTACCTTCTGAAATTAGACCTTTCGGCCCCACTTCAAAAAGTGTGCCTATTTTATTTCCTTACATCTTAAACACACACCAACTAAGATTAAAATTCCAGAAGTTTCTTGAAAACAACTTTCAAACGTCCAACTTAATCTGCTCCCCTGTTATTTCAGCAGAATGAGTTAATTTCAGGTTTCGATCCCACGGCACCCAGCTTGCATTTCGGTCATCTGATCGTACTGGCTAACTTATTTCGAGCCACTTTGCACGGTTGCCATGCGATTGCTCTGGTCGGCCGGGCGACAGCTCGTGTCGGTGATCCGAGTGGTCACACCTCAGGTAGTTTCTTTTTTTACAATAACTGGCTTTGAACTGCAGAAACTGTAAAATCGGAGAAATGTTGTGAGAGCTTCCTATAGATGGTACTCTGGTTGAGTTACTACGCATATACATACTTAGGTGGCATCCTTGACTGAAAGCCCTTCCTGCTTTATGTATAACCACTTAAAGAATACTTCTGCAGATCGTTTGGTTGCTCCAGAAGAAGTAGTTGATGAAAACGCCAATGAAATGAAATCAGTGTTGGAGAATTTATGCAATAATTTTACGAGTGATTATGCTGAGGCGAGGGGAAGACTGTTGGTTGTTGATAATGCTGATTGGCATCTCAAGGTGCAGTTGCTGGCCGGTATTTCAATTATATTATACTGTCCTGTATTTTATTATCCTTCACATAGAGAGCCGACCCTAAAAAGCAAAATGAAAATTTCGGAAAACGGCCGAACAACAAGAGAGAAGCCGATTTAGTCGCTCTTAAAGATTGTAGGTACAGGGTTTACTTCCGACGCTGAGCTATATTTGCATTGCAGCAGAGTTTGCGATGATTGAACATCTTGCATTCCGAATGAGATTTTACATGATACATAGATTACCCTGGCATCTTTCCAAAATGAATGAAGGGAAACTTATTTCTTTTGGGGTGCAGAAAAGGAGTGATTACATTTGATACAATCTGATGGCATGTCGTGCTTCATGCACGCACTTGAGATTCTGAAAATTTGGCTGCATATTCTTTTATGCGATCTTCTTAGCAGCAGTACCCTGTGGTTCTGTTGTTCATGATTTTCTAGTTATGCTCGCATTCCTGCGTCTCATTTTAGATGAGCTCGCTTCAGTTTCTGGATATCTGTCGGAATTTTCGCGTTGGTGAAATGCTCAGAATGGGAACGGTAAAGGCACGTATGCGAAGTGGAGTGGGTCTCTCGTGCGCTGAATTTTTGTACCAGATATTTCAGTCGTACGATTGGTATCGCCTTTCACGCGACTACAATTGTTATTTCCAGGTGAGAGCATAAATTTTGCTGCTCCAGCTGTATAACCGTTGCGTGGACTTCCGTTAGGAGTGTGCCGTGCTCATGCTTTTTTAATAATTCAAACAGTGGGATACAGTCATTGAAAA